CGGTGTCAATCGGTGCACAAATTGTGACACGTCCATTGGCATTCTCATTGGATCATGATCGTCATCAACTTCCATGTTCATGTCCCCTGGTTTCGTAGGTGCATAATCACTCATGTCAAGATCCCCTGATTCTGGCAATGGTACGTCCGGCAACGGCGCTGGATTCTCAGGTGCGGGTGCCCTGTCGCCTGAAAAAGCAGGTGGCTGCTTCGAACTGTACCGAACTCGACCCGTCGGGTGATCTGACTTGACATCTGGGGAATGAGACTCAGATTCCAATGGCTTGTGGATGGGTTCACTCATTCGTTTCCTTTCTGACTCGACCCATGCTCTGTATCGTCGGCAGCATGCCGCTGCGTGTTTCGACCGTGTCTACTCACCGAGTTGCACGCGCCGCAATTTGGGGTTGGACCGTGTTCCAAAACCCAAGGTCTGGGGGGGCCTGTACTTAGCAACGACTCTTCAGCCCGAACCTCATCATCCAGCGGCTTGGCCGGATGCATACCACCATCCAATGCAGGAGCGTCGATAGGCTTTCCAAGATCCTGAAGAACACTGGGCGCTAAACTCGCATCCCAAAGCAGCTTATCCATCACCTTGACCTCTGCCTGAAACGTGTGTTCTTTTCCTGCGATCTTGGTGGACGCAACATGAGCTAAACTGTTGGCCTTTATGTGCAAATACGCTGAGGGAATTAAACGACTTCGTTCGGGGACCAACTCAATCAACGAATCTGGAACTTTCGCCATGCATACGCTCCGGAACATGGTCGTAGTCGGCTTCGGTCGATCTTTCTGCGATACGAGCTCGACAGGTGATCTACGATGTTCAAGTCCTGCTGATCTTCCAATCGACCCGCCTAAACCAAAGTGGTTGTGCGTTTGGGTGATGTATTGGAGCATCTTTCCAAAACCTTCTTCACTCTCTACAATGTCGAAACCATGCGAACGCAAATCACTTCTCAAACAAGAAAGCATTTCCTTCATGCGTCTCACGCTGCGTTTGGCAAGACCAACAGATTGATGACTTTGAGGTGCAGCAGTCTTGATGACCAAAGGAAGTCCAAGCTTCTTGAGTAGGGTTCCTAAGGCCCGTTCCGAGTCCGTGAGTACTTCAATGTTCATGGGTGATTGCTCGCTGACTCCTAGTTGTTGGAAGTACCTTCGACACTCAGCCAGAGTGTGGTCGACGTTCATTCCGCACGGTGCGACACCAATCAACCCTGTTCCTGCGTCTGTCAGTAGGAGATACTTGTAGTTTGCCACACCTACGAAAAAGAAATCAGCTTGTACCAACAACAACTTGTGATCTTGTGGACTCGAATCACCCTCTTTCGTTCGACCATGATGAATGGTGGATCGGCTTCGAGCACAATGCGAACACCTTCGGTCAAATGGCAAATGACCACGTCGCCTATGCAAGGTCAGCTCGATCTCAATCTTTCGCGAAAAATTCTGAAAAGATGCGTCTCCTGAGCTTGATTCTGGTCCTTCAGAATCATCGATATCCAATTCACCTGGAGCAGGCAGTGGTTGATCAAGCACGTGAAGCACAGATGATTCATTTGGGCATCGTAAATCTGTATTGGGCTCATGAACTGCAATCTCAAACGTCTGAACTTCCGGCTGATCATTAAACTTCAACACTTTTGCATGCTGAGTCTTGGATGGTGATCGAACAGTCGTCTCCGGTGACAATCGGAACGGACCACGAACGGATGCTTTCGGCAAATTGGATGGATCTTCACTACCTTTCTTTGGGGAGCTATCTGACTCTGACCACGCTTCCGACAAGCGTCCCAACGAACTCCCCATCTCAACGTCCTGATCCCGGCCACGATTCTTCTTGCGATGTGCTCGAAGCCATGGGACATTCGCCCAGATCTCACAATCCATTCGCCTCATGTCACCGATTCGAATGTGGCATCCGTCAGGACCGTACTCGAAAGTTGCACCAAGACGAGTCAAGCTAAACACACTCAGCAAATTATGTTCGACTGGTCCTACCACTGCCCTGATTTCATACCTCGCAAGCTTTGATTTCTCTTGATCGTCAAACTCAACAATGGTAGGGAACAAAACCTCCAACATGCACTCATGCCCAATATGAACCTCTTCACCCGATGCGGTTCTAAAGTGAATAGGCGATGTCAAGTTTCGTTCTCTCAATACGCGATAGGCCGAAAGAACTTCGATCGAGACAACTGTGCGACTTGCTCCTGAGTCTACCAACCACACATACGGATCATGCATGTCGGTACTCTGACAAACGAAGAAAGGAGACAACCTACCTCCATCTTCAATCTCTGGTTCCGACCACTCACTGCGGCTTCAGACTCAGGTTGGGAGAGTGAAAACTCTGTCGCACGCTTACCTTTCGGCTTACCATGACCTTTGGCATCACCTTTCTTACCTTTCTCTGAACTCTTCCCTGACGAACCCTTGCCTTTCTGCCTGTCCTTTCCTGCATCTCCTTTAGACTTACCTTTACCTCGTGAAGGACAATCAACGGACAAATGACCTCGTTGACCACATGTGAAGCAAGTCCGGGTTTCGTCAGATCCTCCTTTTCCTTTTCCACGTGTGTCAGATCCTTTTCCTTCCTTGGCTTTATCCTGTCCTTTTCCTTTTCCTTTGGAGTCCGTGCCTTTTCCTTTGTCTCCTGGTGCATTCAAAGCAGCAATCGGCTTTCCATTCAAGTCTGACCAAATCCTCTGCTGTGCCTCATACCGAAGTGCGCTCTCTACATATGCGCTAAACGACTCATCTGGTGCATTCAGGACAATACACTGACGACACTGAGGTGGGAGAGCCCTGAGGAGTAGCAACACTTTATCGGCCTCGACGAACTCTAAACCTTTGACGTTCACACACACGGATCGACGAGTTGGGCAACACGTTCATACTGAAAAGCTCAGATTGAATGGTCCTGATTGTTTCCGGGATTGTGGGTGCAGAAATGCTGCTGTTTGCAAGCTGTGTCCTGAAGAAAAGGAGTTCGGTTCGTGTCTTGACAGCGAATTCGCGAGCGATCAAACGTAAACATTCGAACCCGCAACAGCGATGAAACCCCTTTGACTCTTCATAATTCTTGATGACAAGGCTCGCCCGTGCATGGTTTCCGAAACAAGTCTTCAAAATTGACAAGAGTCTCACGGATCTGGTCATTTGGCTCGGTTGCAATCGATGCCAACCCAACGGTTCTGTCTCCTTAATGCACATCATAATCTCTGATGGGTAAGCATTCGATCCAAGACCTGTCCAACTAGCTAACGATGTGATCCATGCCAAAAAACCTGTGATCTCTTGCGGTCTGGTCTTCCACTCTTCAAATGCCGGAAGCGGCATACTCGGCATCCAACGCTCGGACCGTTTAAACGGGTTTTCATCACTTGTGCCACGAGTTGACCCCTGTGGAGTATCGATGGCAATGGGGTGATGTCCAACAGTGGGAAAACCAACTGGCATTCCTGGTGGTGCATTGAACTGCGATGGATTCGGGGTCAACCCTGGAGGAATTGGGGTCTGAGACACACGGCCTTGATCGGAAACATGAAACGGATTCGGTCTCTCTGGGCTCTGAGGCATACTGGTAGGAAACGGCTGACGGCTGATCAGGAATCCCAGCGGCTTGGGCAGGAGTTGGATGAAAATTCTTCCAAGGATCTTGAACCTGCCATGGGTCACTTGGCTGAGAACCTGATGCATTCACAACATTCGGGTCTATCACATTCGGATTGCTCGCCTGACTAGGCTGTGCGTTCGAAACATCTGCACTACCGGGCGTCTGTGGAAAAGTTCCTGGGTTGAATGGAGGGGGAGGTGCAGCTGTTGGTGGCTCAGGCCGTTGAATCGGCATATTAGGATTCACCTGTTGGGCCTGTTGCAACTGAAGAATCTGCTGTACGGCTGGTCCTAAAGTCAAAAGGGCTTGCGAAAGCTCTGAGACTTGGGTCTCTAGCCTGCTCAATCTCCGGTCTTCCAGCCCACCTCCACTCAACCGAGGCTCTTGTGGATCTTCTCGGGTCTGTGAACGGTCTCGGGATCGTTCGCGGCCAGATCGTCCAGTCTCGGCATCGGCCATTGCTCAAATTCAGCTCTGCTGAATGGCAACTACGTGAAATGAAAGAAAATGCCAAGACCTGAACTAAATCTATGCCCTTTTCAGGGCTCCGCTACCATGTGAAAATCTAACACCGAGAACAAGTAGAACAAAAACCTAGAACACTCAAGTGAACTTCAAAGTCAACACACGTGAACTAGTTGGGTCCGACCCGCCCAACGCCCTCGGTAGCGCGAAAGCTTTTCGCACTTGAGCCAACGACGAGTCAGTCTCCTGGTGTCAAAGACTGCGACATGCCGAACTGCGCATGGTGCGCGATGGACTTCAGCAACTGGTACACTTCTCTAGTGCTCAGCAAAAGCTCTCACGAGTTTTCCCAATGCAATGTCTAAGGACACCACAAAGGAGATTTCACCAGCTTAAGGTACGAAGAACTCAAGCAGTGTCTGAGGACACAACTCGAGTATTGCAGTGTTACGAAATGCTTAATTGCACGGAAGGTGCGCAACTATAGTGCGTGTCATCCTTACAAAAACCGGCCAAAAACATCGAACCGACAATCCGATGCAGCGAAGCGAAACAAGGTCAGACTGTCACCACCTGTATCCTAACAAGCGAACTAGAGTTTGCATGGAAGCTTATGGGCAGAACTCTTCACAGGTGGTGGTGGTGGTGGTGGTGGCAATGGTGCGGGTGCTTGACTGAACAGCTTCAACAAATGCAGTGCAATGCGCGACATGGCAGATGGCAGGTCTTCATGGATGCCCAATCCCCAGTGTTGGCTCTCTCAACCAGAGTAATTTTGCCACACACTTTGCAAGATGGCAAGGAACGTTCCTTGATGGTGACGCGAGACAATGCTCGGCCCTCAGGTTTTTCTGTCAATTTTTGCTGCGTCATAAGTGTCCATGGCCATCAATCTGTTCGTTGACCGGACAAAGAGCTTACTTTGGGCCCGAGTGCTAAAACGCAGTGAATGTCGAAGCAATGGGCATGTGGTCTTCGCGCGAAGACCTCAATGTTGCACAATTGTTGGCCGTCCTGGTGACTTGCGCGATATTTTGTGCAATTTGGATAATTCTGAAGCCCCGTGGCTTCGTTGTCCAACTTTGCACATGCTGCTTTGTTTTGTCATTGGTTTGTACACAGCTTCTCATGAAAGAGCTCGCTTCCACTGTGAAATTCAGATATCCAGCAATTGTCACAAGTCTACATTTTTTATCCGTTTGGATTGTTGCTTGGATATTTTGGGCTTTTCACGGTGAGTTGCTTGTTCGGTGCAACCCTGCATCCTTGGGGTCATCCCGCCGGTTTTTCACCTTTGTGCTGCCCATCGCTGCCTCGCTGCCTTTGTCAATTGTCTTCAACAACACTTCCTTGCTATACATGGGGGCTGGGCTTGCTGGTGTTGTTGGCACCATGGCGCCCATTGTTACAGCAATTTTAACACATTTTCTTGGACGGAGAATAAGCAGACATGGCTGGATTGGAGTTCTTGTAGCAACATGTGGAGCTTCGTTTATTGCATTTGGCGAAGCAGATCCTGGCAAAGAAGATGGCTTAGTGCTCCTGGGGCTTATGTTTTGCACCATGTCAGTCTTTCTGCGTGCTGTGAAGGCAGTTTTGCAAGATCAGCTTCTTCAGCCTGCAGCTTATTCAAGCCGGTCTGATTTAGAGAAAGGCATCCAGCCTTTGGGATCACAAGAAGCGCTTACACCAATGCATGTGTGGGCTTTGACTGCTCCACCGTGTACACTATTGGCCTTGGCATACGCTTTCACTACAGAGAGCTTTGAATCTGCCTTGCAAGAAGTTACTCCAACTTCTGGTGCTTTTGTGCTGACCAGTTGTTTTAGTGCAACAGTTCTCAACATCCTTGGCTTGATGAGTGTCAAGCAACTGGGAGCAAGTTCCATGCAAATAGTTGGAAAACTCAATACAATAGTTCTCCTCGCCCTCTCAATGGGGTTCTGGGGCGAAAGCATGCCGAAGGACCCAAAACAACCCTTGAGCCCTGTAGCGAGCCAAAAATACAATGCTTTGAAGCCCTTCCAAAGGTGGCCGAAAGCTACGAGTTTCCATTGTTCTACTAAATAACCGAAGGAAGTTCCGAAGAGAATCTTTCGAGTTACGAAAAGTTGCAGCAGCGGGTGTGTGATTGTGTGCGCGTTAAAAGGAAGAGCAGTCAGGAGGGCCGTGCCGGATGTTTCGGGCATGAAACAAAAGAAGGAAAGACAGTGTGTGTGAAGGGAAAAGGATGAAAGGGGGAAACAGTTGGAGGGGCGGGAAACCGATGAAGCCTGACCTCATTAAAGCGACCTAGGCAAAACCTAGTCAAAAGTGTACGTCAAACTTCGGCCGCTCCGGCCACGTACACCATTCCAAAATGGCTGGCTGCTTGGACCGCTGCGGTCACCTAATGGCTTGCTCGAAAGCTGCCTGCTTGGTTGCAATAATCAATCCAGCAATTCTTGGCAAATGACTTTGGCTTAAGCCTACTCCGCCTGCTGTGGGCACGTACCTTCCCAGGCCGAGGGAACAAGGAAAAGCCCCCGTTCGATGGGTACACAGGGGGCACTCCTCGGGCTCACCCTGGGCTCTCACTGAGGAGAGACACACTTATGGAATTGCGTACGGATTTGATTGCGGTTGTGACACGCCCTAGGTATGACCGCCTCAGGGCTCAGGTACGTCAGAACCACTGGAGTCATTGTGATCAGGCAGTTGAGAGAGTCCGAACCTGCGTCACACGGTCATCGTGGAGCGAAGGGAGGACGGGGAGACTTGCAAAAAAGTTTCGTCGCCATCCGCCACCATCCGAAACGACCCAGTGAAACCTCAACTCTTCCTCGCGCAGCCCTGACAGTGCGTAAACAATCCGATCCAATCTATCCAGGCTATCCAGAACTGGCTTGCGCAGCTTTGCCAGTGTGCCTACGCCCCACAACCCTCTCTTTCTGTCTTCATGTCGCGGCGCCTCATTCTTTCTCTCTTTCGCGCGCGCGCGCGTTGGTCCAGCCCTTAGTGTGTACGCACGCTCGCACTTTAAAACCCGGGTCTCAGGTCGCCCAGGTTGTTACAAGGAGGTTGGGTTCATCGGTTGTCCCTGGTCACTTGGTTCCGCTTCATTGCAACCACATACATCTGGTCTGTCTTGTTTTCCTTTCATGTTTTTTCGGCTCCCCAATCGGGAGGCGTGTGTGTGTAACCCAGGGATTCAGTTGAATTTTCCAGCAGGAAATTCCGTTTAATTCCGACCTCCAGATTTTTGAGCCCGCCGCGACCCTCGAAGGTCCGCCTCCCAATCTGGAGACTCCTAATTCCGCTCGGCGTGTCTTCACTATGACCGCCCGTCAATTTGCCACCGCCTCCACTCAAATTGGCAAGGTCAAGCGCCTGACCCATCACCCTGCTCAGCTACCAGATCGACAGGATCACGCAGCGTTGGCACCTTGCAATGACGGCCGACAAGCTGTTGTTTAGAATCTTGGGGTGTTCCGCTGGACAGGAATGTGCAGCTGAGTTCGCGCATTGCTTGCGCAAATGGCTTCAGATCCCTCACACAAGTGGGAGCACGGGTGTTCCACTTTGACTGGAATCCACGTGTCTAATCCTGGCTTGGCTGAGTGAGCTGGACAAACGACCTTGGGATTGCAGGAAGTGGCGGACTCTTGGACATCATGCTGGTGATGAGGGGTTGAAAGGGCGGATGCCTCCTTGCCAATCCTCGCGATCAAAGGCATGGACCCGGTGCCTGAGTGCTGTGAGTGAGGCATGTTGCCGGCGCTAAGAAAAAGCGCATTCCAGGTACAATTGGTGCAGGACTTCGCATGGCTAATTCTGTTTCTGGATGACAACGCGCCCCTGTTTGCCCTTGCCTTCACAGGTCTTCAATGACGTTTTCTGATGCTTTTGAAGAACTTTTGAGCCATGATGATGAGCCGAGCCAACGTTTACTGGATGACACTTCCAGTGGCAGTGCAACAAGTTAGAGATAGCTGGTGTCTCTAAATGTCGAAAGAAGGAACATTACATCTCAACAACCACATCATTCTTTCACTACAGTACAGTTCTATATTTTGTGTTGTGAAACTTCCGCCCGCCGGCTCTGCTGGAGAGTTGCGTTGTCTTGGAACAAGAAGTGAACTTGCTTAAAGTTTAGCGCTTCGCCCTGGAGGAGGTCTTGGTGGGCACGTGCTTCGCCCTTATGGGTGTTGCAATATTTGAGCGAGGAGGCTTGTGGTCTTGGAGTCATGATCTTTCATGGTGCTTCACTTACTGTGTTCCCGAAAGCACACACTTGCAAACGGCTTTTTCGTGGATAAGCATTGGTCAGCCAAACACCCTTTGACATCAAACATCGCACATACATGTGAAGAGATGATGGCAAGATATGATGTGGTTTGATAAGACAATGTCATGGTCTTATTTGACATTGTGTGACACACAATGGGGGGATCAAATGTCATCATATGATGTTGCGTTGGTATGACACACGCATGTCAGAGATGATGTTATATGACTTGAACATGTGACTTGAGATTATATGATCCGAACGTGCCAAGATATGCTCTGCAGAAACATTTGTCACTCTCTGAGGCTTTGGGGATGGATGGATCGATTTCACGAATTCTGACCCGTTTGCTGAACTCATGCATGTCGGATGTGCGAACGTGTGGGCCCGTGTGAAATTCCCAGCAGATCCCTTTATTGTATTTTCCTTTCATGTGTTTTCCTTTCCTCTTGTTCGTTCCGTTGAAATTTTTCAAGTCCCCGTGTGTTTTATTTTTCAGTAACTTTATTCATGTTTCTTGTCCTTTAGATTTTTTTTAAAATATCATTGTTTCTCCTTTCGTTATGTGTCACTTTCTTGTCAGCTTTGTCGTCTGCGATGCAAAACATATTGCCATTGTCATTTCTACTTCCTCAAAAATCATTTTGTTTTCATTTGTTTGTGCTGGTGATGTGCTTCTACTACTGGTGATGTGGCACGTTTCTAGCAATGAGGTGGCGTGAGATGGCGCGTTTGTACCTGTGGTGAAGTGGTGCGTTTCAACTCGTTTAGTGCCGCATGTTGAAAGTGTGAGAGGTGGACTGCGGAAAACACATCGATCAATTTTCCAAAAACCTAAAGTCGTACCAGTCTTACCACATTTGTTTCTTTACATGCTGCTGGTGTTCAGTCTGCCGAATGATCTTTTGCAAGGAACATGAAATATCATGAAACCGAAACAATCTAACAATGTACCAAGGTGTAGAAACTAATATACGATTTCATTAACGCAGGAATATTTATTTATGATATTTGATTTTTTGATCTGATAATGTGAATCAGTTTTGCAATTTTATGTGACTTCTCATTTGGTGATCCAATGTCCGAACCCCCTACCTTGCATGTTGCTACATTGTTACAATGCATTCGGGCCACATGTCTTTCTTGATTGGCGCGTGAGATTCAGTCCAACCATGGCAGTATGAGAAGTCAAGGGTGCTCCTTGGAGGGCTGTTGTAGGTAGTACCATGAGTTCACTGGATAATGTTTGTCGGTGCATGAACATGTCTCGGGGGTTTTGACGTTTTACTGTGTTTGCATGAGACGTGATGTGGGCACCCGTTCTCACTCAGGTACCCCGATGTGCTGGTGGGATTTCTCTGTGACAGCTTTGGTCGAAACGGGTTCTCCACAGCTGCGTTGGAAAAGTGGTCTAAGGTTACTAAGGTTGATGGATTTTCTACACCAGCGGCTTCTGTACCAAAAAGGGCTCTTTAGTGAAAGAAAATGAGGGCAGTGAATTTTCTGCAGGAAAAGAAACTGAGGCAACACTGAGTGCTCTGCCATTTTGGCTCAAGTGAGCTCCCCCCCTCCTGTTGCCACCTTTTGTTTTCGCCATGGCTGTGCGCAGCGTTTGGTGGGTCCTCGCGGCCTGGTGGTGGCCAGGAGGGGGAGCCTACGTCATTGGCGAGGGCACGACAGAGAAGGGAAGGGTGGCAGGGCTCCAGATGGTCGGAGAGTTGTGGAATGCAAGCCTAACCAGCGACGGGTACCACTTTATGGAGAAGACCTACAGTTGGATTGGGCGCTCGACTGGAAAGGAGCCCGGTGTGTCAGGAATGGCAGGAATTCAAGACAGAGGGAAAGGGCTTGAAAGGTCTCGGCACAGCCGGAGGTGGTCGGGGAGCACCAAGTACGGCAGGAAGAGGGACCGGAGAAAGAGCCCGAAAAGGACATGGCGAGACGAATCCAGGCGCTACCCCGCCTCAAGAAAGGACGAGGCTGGATCGAAAAACGGTGGAAACAGGGCTGGCCAGCTATAAGGGCATGAAGATCGTACGGGTGGTGAAGGTACGAGACGTAATGGTCAAAGAGGAGGACGGAAAGTACACCAAGGAAGAGGTTGAAGGGAATAGGGCGAATTACACACACGAGAGGAACAGAAAGGGATGGAGGACTGGAAAGGGCCGGAAGTGGAGAGGCTGGATACGGAATCGAAGACGGAGGGTCCCGAAAGTCGGAAATTGGCTGACGATAGTCGGGGTCCAAGTCGGTGGGCTAGCTTTGATCGTGGTGTGGACCCACACATACAAAGCTGGGCAGAAGGGCCCACAAAGGGAGTGGCAGGAGGTGTTAGAGTTGATCTGGGGCTCAGGCACCTACAAAGCAAAACGTTGTGGCGGTCAGGAAGAAACAGGCCGTGGCAACCCCGCAGGGAGTGTTAATCGGTCGGGTCAAGAGCGATCGAACTCCGCGGGTAGCGGCTTTGAAGAAGGCAACGCGAGCGGCAAAGGACAGAAAGGAGAATGACACCTCGGTCGAACTGCTGAAGATAGAGGTGGCGAGACCACTAGAGCACCTGGGGCCAAAGGGTTCGAGGAAGACGAGTTGGCCCTGGTGATACTCCCCAAGGAAGTGATCTTGGTGATGCAGGGCGACCAAGTCCGAAGGGATCAGATGGCCGCGTTGGTGTTGACGACCCTGGCGGGATTGGGGCTGAACATCCAATGGGGCCGAGGCAAGCGTGGACGGGACATTATCGTCGACGGGGCCAGTATGGCCAAGGCGCAACTAGGAGGTGAAGTGGTACAATTGGCGTGGCCCGAACAGAGGTTCGCACAATTCCAGACAATGCTGGAAGCACAGGACCGGGTGCCAGAGGTGGTGGAGGTCATTGGGCCAACACCTGTTCGAGATCGGACGCGAACTGCATCGCCGATATCCGAGCGGCAGGGAAATGTATCTGCTCATGGGATGCGTGTGGCTGCGCTGGTCCGAGTTGGAAGAACGGGAGAGGAGAGAGGGCAGGTCACTGGAGGAAGACTGGGACCTCTTGAAGGAGACGATGGTGCTTCTACGAAAGTGGTGCCGGGGAGGGCCGGCGTCGATTCGCCACAGAAGCGAGTCAATCTAGGTGTGACGCCGGCGAAGGTGAAGGTTCGGCTACGCTTGGAGGACTTCAAGGTGGTGGCGGTACTCCAGACAGGCACGAGGACGGCCAGGGCGTTGGTGACATACACGCGTCGGAATGGGCCAGGCTGGGCTGGCCGAGAAGGCAAGACGTGGGGTGGAGCTCGAAGGTGTGGCTGGCGTTGCTCATCACGCTGAAGCACTGGCCGGCGGCTCTACGTCTGGTGGCCCCATCCTTTCTGGTCCAGCGGGAACAGTTCCGAGACTGGTTAAGGCCAGCCGAGGGCCAGAGGGCGCATACGGACATGTTCCTGAGGCAGGAGTGGATGGTTCAGCTGGCTCGCCTGAACCTCGACGACTACAAGGTAGAGGAGGACACGTCGGAGGAGCCGCTAGAACGCCGGGTGGCCGACGCGGAACCAGGGGCGATCCTGGGTGGCGGGCTGCTGGTGGAAGGGGTCCCGGACAGGACCGAGGAGTGGACTTTCTTGTCACCGCCGCAATGGCCTTCAGGGCCTATGGAGGTGCTGTCAAAGGAGTTCCACGAGCGGCGCCTGCTGGACCCGTAAAGCGGGCGAGCAAGGACGTGCACGAAGGAGGGTAAAGGGAAAAAGGGAAGGGCTGTCAAGGAAAAAGGTCGGGCCGTAAACCCCTCTCTGAGAGGGGCGAAAAGGCCGTGGTAAGGTCGCAGGGCGAGTGACGGGAGCCGGGGTCGGAACCTCAGTCGGGAACTCCAAAGGGGTGGAGATGCCTGCAGGGGGATGCCGAACCGCCCGTCCTCCCCCCGTCGCGGTCGCCGCTCGTCGTTTCGACGCAGGGAAGGAATGGAACCCAAAGTGGGTCGCCCTGATGAGGGGATAAGGTCGCCTGGCTGTTTCACCCCCCCTGTTAACACGTTCGTCGCGCCGTTCGGTCGCTTCGCTCATTCTGGCAGGCCGTTATCTGTGTTGCCTGGGCTCGACGAGTTTCAACACGTCCCACACTGGCGGGGCGGGCCAACACCCATGGCGGCGGCAGGGTGGGCGCACAGTACTCCATGGAGGTGGTGATGGGCGGACCAGCCAGTTGAAGAGGAAGCACCAGAAGGGGAGGCAGAGGAAGCACCAGAAGGGGAGGCAGAACCACAGAAGCAGAGTGCAAGAAAAGTGACCGGGAACAATCGTCGAAAGGAAATGAGGCAAGAAAAAGGGCGGAAGCGGCGCAAGGAGGACGACGTACAGGGAGCAGGAAGGCAGAAATGGAGAGGGCACCGTGCGCGAAGAGGTACAAAGAAAGAATCGAAACGGAGAGGCACCAAATGGAGGCGGAAGGGCACTATAGCGCCAAGCAGAGGGACATGACAGAGGAAGAAAAGGGAGTGGCCCCACGAATAGGGACCCGATACAGGGAGGACAGGAGAGGGCACCGTGCACGAAGGGGCACAAGGGAAGGAATCGAAACGGTGAGGCACCAAACGGAGGTGGAAGGGCACTATAACGTCAAGCAGAGGGACACGACAGAGGAAGAGAGGGAGGGGCCCCACGGAAAGGGACCTGAGACAGGGAGGACGAGGACCCGAGACAGGGAGGCAGCAGCATAAGCTGATTACCGCTCGGAGTCACGCAGGGACGGTCCTCTGAGGAGAAGTACCGCGAAAGCGGAAAGTAAGGAGGAAAGGCGTCATTGTAAGGCCCGGCGAGGACCTGAGAAAAGCAGGCTGATCACGGTTCGTGATGATGCGGCAGTGGGGTTGCATAAGGGCAGTCAAGCAGCAGAGGGCCGCGGCGAGGTAAGTACCAAAGGGTGGCAGGGTGTCAAGATGAGGACCTGAGAAAGGAAAGCAGGTGGTACGCTGGTTACCTCGGAGTCAAGCAACAGAAAGGTTGCAGAGAGGGAGAAGCGAAGGAATCGTAGGAAAGGGTTCTTCGGGAAACTCGGTGAGGACCCGTGAGAGGGATGCAGCTCCAATTGCTGTTCGTCGCTGGGAGCCAAGCAGCAGAGAGGCTGTAAGGGGGAACCAAGCGGCAGAGGGGCTACTTTAAGGGAGGTACCAAAGGGGAGGCAGCAAGGCGCGATGAGGATCCGAGGAAAAGGGGGGAAGCAGGGCGGTGCGCTGCTCTGAGTTAAGCAGCAGAAGAGCTGCATTTGAGGAAGAGTCGGAGGAGTCAAGGGAGGACATGAAGGGACATGAGAAGGGATGCAACTCCTAAAGCGGATCACCATTGGGAGTCAAGCAGCAGAGGGACTGCAGGGAGATAGGAACCGCGAGGGCAGGGAGAAGGTTTGTGAAAGGGAACTCTCGAGGGAGAACGCAAGAGGTCGGGAAGGGAAGAATACTTCGAGGAGGAGGAGGTGAGATGGAAGTTATCGAAGAGAAGGGACAGAAGGCTTATCAAAGAGAGGAGGAGGTGATGGAGGAGAGCAATACGGAAAGGTGCAGACGGGCAGAGGAACATCTCGCTGGCTGGTCGGACTGGAAAGAGGAACTTGGGGCGTAGGCACCAACTACGCAGCGAGTGTGGCTGAGGCGAGTAGGGCTTGAAACGGGGCTCACGCCCGTGAGTCCAAAGCTGGAGGATCTTGGCGAAGAGGAGGAACTTACATAGTCAGCACGCCGGCCGGGAGGAGTGAAGACAAGGAAAGGGTAAGAGCATCGGTCATGCGCCCAAGGAACGAGTCCAAGAAGGGGTACTTGGAAGGACGCGTGACGAGACAGTGGATGGACAAGGAAGTGGAAGAAGGCCGGATGAGGAAAGGAAGGAGTGAAGGAGGGAAGGAGGCAAAAAGGGTCTGTCAAAGGTCAGACCCGGGAGGAAAGTACCGAGTCATCTGGCAGTCGGGGGAGACGCCGAGAGGCACGAAGGGTTCAGAGTCATAGCCCGACGCAGGAGGGTGACGAAGAGCCAGAGGAATCAACGCTAAGGAAGTGATGGTCTACTACGACGGGAGGGACACTAGGCGCATGAAGGCCCTCCAAGAGTATGATGTTCGTTGGCAGGAGTGAAAGCGTGGCCGGAAGAAGGGAAGGAGAAAGAAGCCTCGGTAGCAACCGGAAGAGAAGAGAGGGCTGGAAGTTCGGCATCTGGATCGAACCGTGGCGTACCTGGGATCTGCGGTAATCACCTCCGTCAGAGGAAGAAAGACCGCAAGAAAGGGGACAAACTTCTGAAGTCGAAAGGAAAAGGGAAAGGAAGGAGTGAGAAGGAAAGGGAGCCAGGAACCTGCGTGCTCAAAATAGAGCCTGAGGAAAGGAGTAGAAGAAACGAAGGAGCGGTCAAGTGGAAAGAAGGGCGAAGCGGAAGAACAGAGGGCATCAGACGGGGGAGTGAGACGGAAGGGTCCCAGAGGCACGAACTAGAGGATGGAATCATCTCCACGATACGTCGGGGCGGCAAGAAGGTGCATCCTACACTCACGGCCGAGGAAGGACACAAGACGGGCCTGACGCGCGGATAAGGATCAGTCAGAGGCAACCAGGAGGGAGGGCCGAATAGACTACGCCGGAAGGGGAAGTCTAATTTCGGGCAGCTTACCCAAGCAAGGGCAAGCGGTCAAGGCCTGGGAGGAGAGGAGACCCGCAGGGCGGGGGAAACAAAGCGAGGAAGAAGCTTGGGAAGGTCCATCGAGTAGGAAGAAGAAAGCACGCCAGGCGTGAACAGAAGACGCTAAGTTCAGGAAGGTATGGAGGGCGAAACAATCTGGTCAGGAAGAATCTGTACGAGCGAGGTTCACGGAGGAGAAGGAAGCGAGCAAAGAAAGGGACCTTAAGGACGCACAAGACTCTGTGCTAGAGAGAAATCAGGCTAAATGAGATTTCTTCGCGCAATGGCGGCAAAATTTCCCCTACGAGCTACTGTGCGAAAGGGGGTGGTCGTTTCGAAGGAGTCGAGGTTAAGAATACTTCCGGCGCAAAGCAAAGAGGTGTGAAGTGCAGGAAGTACAGCTTGATTGACTCTGCTCATCATCCTGGAGAAGGATTTAGATGAGCCATGCACAAGGACAACTTACACCAGCGTGATCAAAAGGGATGCTCTATGGTTTCACCGGTGGTTGTTGCCTCAACTTTTCGGGTGTGGAAACAGTACCTTGACAACCCCTCCACGCCCCAAACATGATGGAATTATTTTTGTGTCTCCTTTGTGGGTGCATCCACATTCCTTCCGGTAGGCCTGGCCCTGAGGCCGTGGAACACTGCTTTCTCTACCACGGCTGTGGTGGAACAGGGGTCCCTCTATCATGGCTTTGGTGGCACAGGGTTTCTCTACCAAGAGTCTGGTGCAACATTTCTCTACCACAGCTTGGTGGAACAAAATCTTTTTTGCAACACTTGTGACGAAAAGGGATTTGTCTACTGGCAACTCTGAGCCCTGCTCCCAAACTCAAAGCTGGTAGTCGCTAGAGCCACTAGAGTTATTGCTGACCTTTGAAAAAACCATTTGGTCGAAAGGTGTGAGAGAAGCAAACCACAGCCCTTTGCCTTCCGAGAAAAGAACCTTGACCAGGTTCCATGAGGCCAGCAAAACTGTCACAGCCCTCGTGAGACTCGTGAGCCCAAAGATGGGCCAGTCCTAAAAGCGATTTGGACAGCAAGTAGCGTCCTTGCTCCTAGTAGTACGGCCAGGAGCCCCTAGGATAGATAGAGCGAACAAGCGGCTAAAGAACGCTGCGCTTTACACTTGTACGACCTGCCAAAGGGAGCAGCGTTTTGATTCGGGTTGGCTTCCAAAACATGGAGATCACAACTCATAGTTTCGCGGTGTTTTGCCGCACCGAACCAGTGATTCGCACCAAAAGCATTGCTTGCGACATTGTGTAGCAAGCACAGTTGAGACACATGAATGAAGTGGATCTGGAACCCCAAAATGGTCATGTTTCCTGAGGCAGCAGCCATTCGCAGGCAGCAGGTGGAGCAAGCTGGGAGCGTAGTGGTGAGAAATCGAAGGTCGAACTCAGACAGAAATAAAGACGGTAAGGGCTAAAGGGGGCTGGCTAAAGAGGCCCTTACCTTCATGTTTTCTTCTATCTGAGTCTAAGTGTTTACTAGGGCCTCCTGGCCTTACTACTAGGAGCAACGACGCTACTAGGGGCTCCTGGCCTTACTACCAGGAGCAAGGACGATGCTAGGGGCTCCTGGCCTTACTACTAGGAGCA